ACGATCAAACTCTCAAGAGATTGAATTATTTTGCACCGTAATTCAGACTTTTACAAAATCCTCATATTTCATCCTTAACATTGAAATTCATGATATCACAAATATAAAGTTGTAAGTTGAGACTATTTGAAATATCACAGCTACTAGGTAAGTTAGGTCCCTTGAAATCATAGAAATGACAATATCAGTAGCAAGTATTTATCTCATTTTACTAAAAAACTAATTAACAAACATGTAAGCTCTTTCCTCCTATACAGCTAGCATACCACTGTGAAAAAGCAAAATACTGTTGCTGCTATTTTGTCATAAAACTGAAAAGAGGTGGCTTTAGTGGCCAAAACTGCTTACATTCACAAGTTTTACTATTTTATTCAACACTAAATCATGACAAGAAGTCACATTACTAAATGCCAATTCTCCTCTCTGAAAAAAGTGGGATATGAATTGATATCCTGCTGCAACTTCTTTTACTTAAAAAGCAAGTAGACCATTTCCTGCAGCTATAGTTGTTGGTGCTTTGATCAGAAGGACACAGTGCAGCTTTTCTAGGCTATAATGGCGTAAAAAAACAACTGACCAAAAACAAAACATAAAACTCCTCTGCTATAGTGATTCTTCAGTGATAAACAGTAACACACCTGTATCAAGCACTAGTATATCCTCTGTATATCAGTGCTTTCATCCAGCTGAAAAACAAAATACTGGCATGTGCACATGACAGTAATTGCTTTTCCAGATGGTATGTCTTTGATAAAGGATTTGTGCCAAAAACTCATTTTACTTTCTCTGCAAGCATAATACTTGCTATTAACTTTGAAACTGGTTTTACAAGCTTCTCAACAGTGAGTAGACCTGTTTTTTGCTGTGAAAAGGATACCTCTGAATGATACAGTAATGTGTACCTCCCTGTCTTAGCAACAACATTCATTAATTTCACATTAAGAAGCATTATTTTTCATTATTTCACACACATTTCATTCTTCATCACCTCTAAAAATTAATTCTTACAGAAAAGGAAACTAAGAAATATTAATTCAGTTCTCCCAAGGTAGCATGAAAGTAAAGCTTCTGCTCTTTCCATCATAGCACAGAAAAAACTATAGCAGGGAATATCCATTCCCTTAATATAACTTGCCAAAATTTGCTTTCAAATGTTTTACTGAGTTCAGACAAAACATTTTAAAAAGGTACCATTTTAACTTAATGTAAACTGTAATCCAGGACATATAACTTTGCAAATGTTCTAGGGCCTTAACTTACCGTCTCACGTGTTGATTTTGCTCTTATCCCCCAAAACAACAAAATGCCATATTCTTTAAATCTGAAGTTCAAATGTATAACTCTTCCAAGCACAAATTTGTGAGATTTTTCACTTCATTTTCAAAATGGAAAATGAAAAATATGAATAGGGGCTATCACTCTGTGAACATCTGAAAAACAGTGAGGAGAGATAAGACACTGATAAATGGCCAGGTGCAGAGGCTCATGCCTGTAATCCCAGCACTTTGGGAGGCCGAGGCAGGCAGATCACTTGAGGCCAGGAGTTTAAGACCAGCCTGGCCAATATGGTGAAACTCGTCTCTACTAAAAATACAAAAATTAGCCAGGTGTGGTTGCGCACACCTGTAATCCCAGCTACTGGGGAGGAGGAGAATTGCTTGAACCCAGGAGGCGGAGGTTGCAGTAAGCCACGATCATGCCACCACACACTCTAGCCTGGGCAACAAAATGAGACTCTGTCTCAAAAAAAGAAACTGATAAATAAGAAATTCCTAATTTAAAAATTTAAGCAACCTAATTTAGGCTATATGGTACTTTCACACAACCAATTACCAAACTCAATTGATGAAAACTTCCTATTCCCTAATCTTTACTTTTGTTAAGGTCTGAATATAGAATTTAAGTATATTACTTAGAAAGGGACTCTAGATTATGACTTGATGTGCGCATTCTATGACTGCACATAAATGGTTTCGGATGGGTGTATCCAGTCTTCCTAACCCAAGAGTAAGCATTCTGAATAAAAGACATCTTCAATTTCATTTATAACGAAGTTACAGAATGATTTATATTCTTCCCCATATCTAGAATCATTCTTTACAAAGCTTGGGTATTCCGCTAATGTTTCTAAGTGAAAGTAAGGAGAAAAGATACACCTAAAAACAAGTAAAATGGCTCTGGTACTAAGACAAACTATATATTTAATCATCATTACTATTTGAGTTCAAATGACATCAAGCAAACAAAGAAAAGTACAATACATTTACTAGTTGCCAGGGACATTTCAAAACTTATCATCAAAGTAACCTCTTTTTCATCTGCTACTTGATTTGAGATAATTTTTCTTTAGCAAAAATTGCTGAATTACACTAACCCCTTCCAGGAGGTAATCCATTTCTGGTAGCTGAGGCAGTCTTACTGATGGCAGCAGCGGCCCATCTAGAGCGGCTGCAGTGGGGTAAGTGTAGGAAGGGCTGTGTGCTCCACTGGGCCGGCAGGGGCTGGGAGCAGGCAGAAGGCCTGCCCTTCTGGGTGCAGCTGCAACTGCCCAGCCACCACTGTGGGCCCAGACTTCTCTGCACTCTTGGGGACCCAGGAAGGCCCCCCATGCCCTTGCAGGCTCAGAAGTGCTTACTCCCACTGCCTGGCCTCTTCCTGCTCCCAGTACCTGCTTCAATCTCAAAGTTGAGGCCAAGGCCAGGCACTGTTGCAACCCAGCTGGGTGGGTGCTGACGAGCACGGGAGGGAGGCTAAGGAGAGGCTCGATGCTAGCCTGCAGGTGCTCCAAAGCAGGAACAGCCTGGGCACCACGAAGAGTGGTAGGAGGCAGATAGGCTTCTGGGCAGAAAGGGGCAGGTCCCTGAAAACCTCACCTTCAAACCAGGGAATGCTTGAAGCCTGGGGGCCAGGCTGCCAGTCCCGTGGACTGGAATGGAAACTTACGGTGCTTTTTCTGGGACCACTCATGAACCAATTGGCATGTACTTCAACCCCTCTGAAGCCCATAAAAACCCTGGATTCAGCCAAATTCGAGGAAAGGATAGGATGACCAGCTGCAGAGAGGGGCCACCCACTCCAGGGTCTCCTCTCTGCTGAAAGTTGAGGAGAGGATGGGATGACCAGCTGCAGAGAGGCGCTACCCACTCCAACTCCATGGTCTTCTCTCTGCTGAAAGCTGAGCACTCATTGGGACACCCTGGCTGCAGAAAGGAGCTATCCATTGCAAGTCTCCTCTGAGCTGTTCTATCGCTCAATAAAGTTCCTGTTCACTTCGCTCACCCTCCATTTATCCATGTACCTTATTCTTCCTGGGTGTGGGACAAGAACTTGGGACACATTGAATAGCAGGGTTGAAAGAGCTGTAACACAAACAGGACTGAAATACGCTCCTTGCTTGCCACATTGAGGGTGACAAGAAGACAGAAGAGCTGCAGCCCTTCAGAGAGCCCAGACCTAGGAGTTCCTCGAGCCAAGGCTTTGACATACTCTTTAGGGCTCTGCAGATCCTGGCATCTCCAAGCTTCTGGGGACCACTGCATTCCCTGGTGCCAGCCAGGGAAGCTGCTTGTGATACACCTGGTCCAGACACAGCTGGCAGGGAGCCAGTGCCCATGCTGGTACCTGGAGCTGCCTGCCCCACCACAGCCAGTGTGCCCGGCTGTGCAAAGTGGCCAGACCCCACACTCACTTGCTCACACACCCCTCACTGCTCTGCTCACCCTTGGCAGGCATGGGATCCAGGCCAATAGTGTGAGCTGCACACAGCCTGCCAGGCTGAGTGGGCCCAGTGGGCCCGAGCAAAACTCAGTGAAATGACATCCCAAGGAGCCCATGGCATTAAGGATTTCCAATATCATGAATTCTTATTATTTTGGAATTTATGCTTTACAAAGTCGTCTTCTAGAACAGAACAAAGTTAAGAATCCTAGCAGTAAGTGATACATATTTAAATTTTTCTCAGGTTTTACCTTCTCTATATTCTAGCAAAATATTAATTCACAAAACTCTGTAACATATTCAGAGAAATCAACAAACTGTGACCTGTCCCCTAAAATAGTTTCCATACTTTCTGCCTATTTGGAAAAATATAGTTAAAATAAAAAATATTTTGTTTTTAAATAAACACCTAAGTCACTCTACCTATTTGTAATTTACGTGAAAACATAGAATTATTTTTGGTTTTGCTTTCTGTTGACATTATATTTCCTTTTTGTCTTATTTGTCTTACGTGGTCTTTCAAGTGGGGATCCACCCCATATTTTGGAAGTGTCACCTGATTCTTTAATTAAATATCTTGGTTTTCTGGCCCAAGTAATTCATTAGCTTCCAAAGGTCCTACAGGGACAGCTTATAGAGAGTAACAGTGACACATACTGGTGAATAGAAAATCCCTAACAATAAATTTAGGAAGAAAGGCGAGAAAGGTTTCAAACCATCTAAAGGAAGATCAATAAGGTCTCTGACATCATGCAGGTGGACTCAGAGTGCTGCGTTCAGTTGTTTCTCTCAGGGTCATAATGTAAATAATTATGAAATTGATATTTATTTATTCCAGTTCCTCTAATATAGTTACTGAGACTTAATCTACACTTCATGTATTTCTTATAATTGATATGCTTTCCTAATTTTAATAAATAGATCCCTTTAAAATCTTGTCTACAGCCATACAACTCTGAACACATCTGATCTCAAAAGCTAAGCACAGTCAGGCCTGGTTAGTACTTGGTTGTGAGACCACATGGGAATACTGAGTACTGTAGGCTTTTGAAAAAAAAAAAATCTGGATCACTTCTCAGTTGGTTTCTTTGGGAGTATAGTGGGAAAGGAGGGAAGTGAACTCTTCTCTAAGAGCTAAGCATTCTAACATATTAAGTACTTTTAAACTCACCAAACCTATTATCTAGAAATCAACACTACAAAATGACTACTAAGGAGTCAAAGCTAAAGTAAAATTGCGTCTCAAATACCTTAGAATAAGTAGAAATTCTAAATGTTGGTACCTTCATGTGGAAGCAAAGTTGCCTACTGCATGATCTTGCTTGATGGTCCTTGATTTTATCATCAGAGTCAGTTCCAGTTACGTTTCCATTAGTATGCATAGATCTAAAGCAGGAGACAGAAGACACAATTGGGCCATTGAAAACATTACAGATTTTAGGTACTGTGACACACCACTGTTTGTAAGCATACAAAGATTCTTACACAGATGCTTTAGTTATTCAAGAAATGTCAATTCTCATTCTTGTCAGCACCAACAAGTTTTTAAAAACTAATTTAAAGATTAAAGATATAATAGATAAATATATCAAGTTGATAAAAGGTAGTTGCTGGCTTTTTTAAAAGCTCAGATCCCCAAAGGAGGTATGCAATCAGTTGGGGCTTGCCTTGGTATTCCAGGGGAGTTGCTGAAGTCACTCCAGCAGCAGTAGCCTGAGTATCCAGTTTCAGGTAAAGTGGAACAGTAAAAGGAAACAAGGTTCCTAGCAGAAGAACTCTGTAATAAAGAAGCACCTGATATCATGGCTATTATTCCATCCTAGGCCACTGGAAGTGGGATATTACAAATTAGATTTTACTAAATTAATGGTACAGTAGATCATGCTTATAATCTCAGCACTTTGGGAGGCCAAGGTGGGCAGACTGCTTGAGCTCAGGAGTTCAAGACCAGCCTGGGCAACATGACAAAACTCTGTTTCTACAAAAAATACAAAATTAGCTGGGCTTGGCGGCATGCACCTGTAGTCCCAGCTACTTGGGAGGCTGAGGTAGGAGGATGGCTGGAGTCCAAGAGGTTGAGGCTGCAGTGAGCTAGGATCACGCCACTGCACTCCAACCTGGGCGAAAGAGTGAGAGCCTGTCTCAAAAAAAAAAAAAAAAAAGAGAGAGTTTTACTGGCTTTTGCTATTTAAGGCCAAACTAATTTAGGTTTTACCACCCAGGGTTAAGCTTTTTACTAACATTCTCTTTATAATCACAAAGACAGGCAGTGGATCAGGCTCCAGAGACGGTCATTATACTGCAGGTCAGAAATGTAGGGCTAGTAAATTCTACCTGTGACTCCTACCCCTATCACTCTTGGACTTTATTCAAAACACAAACCATTCTAGCCAACTACCCTCTGTCCTATTTGCACGCCCCCAGTTATGCTTTCTCATCTACTCCATTTGGTCTCCCACTGCTACCCTTGCTTCCAACTTTTTCCACAAGGACCTCTGGAAATCCCTCTTACGTAAGTAAAACAGATCATCTATACATTCTCATCACTGAGAATGATGACCAACTCTGACCACTCACTGGCCAACTCTCATCACTGACCATCACTGACCAACTCTTTCAACCACTGGGCTAAATCTGGCTCTCGAAAATAATGCTTTAGAGTGAAGGATAACACGGTAGAGACAAAATTCTCCAGAGTGACACTTCCAGATCCTCACAAGCAATTTCCTTCCTTCCCTGTGATGTCCCATCTGGCTGTATGACCCTCTTCTTCAATTTATCATTCAGTATCTCACTCTATTTTTTCTAACCTGAGTCTAGACTCATTCCCTTGGATGCACTCTACCTACTCTTTCTCCATTCTAGTTGCTTGTTATCTCCAGTTTCAAAATCTTAGTTATCTCCCCAACTATAAATCCACATAGTATGCTATTTCTTGCTTCAGCTTCACCACCCTCAAACTCCTAATCCAATTGCCTGCTAGAGAACAATCACACAACCATGTGACTTGATCCTGCTATAAAATTATGGTCTCAAAATTCAACTAGACACCAAATGCTGTGCAGCAACCCTTAATGCACCGTTAATTAGGTCCTTCTCCCATAATTCACACTGCCTTTTCCCCAAACTTCTGCCACTCTACCCCTACTAGTTGAGAATCTGAAATCCAAAAATCTGAAATTCAAAATGCTCCTTTGTGCGCATGTCAGCATCCAAAAAGTTTTGTAATGTGAAGCATTTCAGATTTCAGATTTTCAAATTTGGGTTGCTCAACTTGTACTATTTATCTTGCTTACTTTTAACATGTTCTCCAGTCTTATCACTGGCCCTTAATACAGAAGATTTTATTTTCAGGTGGATGGATTTGCCCATCATTGCATTTTTCATATCTTTTATTATTTCTCTGCTTTGAAATTTCTCCCCCTTTAATAATAGTAGATAATACTCTGATTTTCATTTTTCTATGGACTAATCTTCTCAATATTTCATTTCATATAATGTACAGAATGAGATTTGGCTCTAAACTGACCTGCATTTCAAATTACCAACCAGTTTTTCCTAGCAACATTAAGGAATTCTCATAATCCTTTGGTTTACAAAGTTTCTTCTTTTATATTTCATTTGTTTGCCCATAAGGTTGGTCTCTGAGCTGCAATTTATTTAAGCAATTATTGTTTCTTTATACGTTTTAATTTGTGATAAGAATATTCTTAGTATTTTCATCTATTTTTTCTGACAATAAACACATCTTATCAGATTCCAAGGGTATTCCTGGTGATTTCAGGAGTAAGAAATGGCTGCCTTGCCCATTCCACATACTGTGTACTTCTGTTACAGTTTTTACCTATACAAAGTGCTCCTTTCTACTTTGAGTGATCATCCACACTACTACTGCATCTAAAACCAAAACCTTCCTAATTGTGCTAGAAAGCTACCTTTTTACATATTTCTCTATCTGGAGCCAGATTCATAAAACCTTGTCCTTCACAATTTTCCACACTTTGTATTCACTCTCTCATTGATGAAAGCTGGCTTATGTAAAATGAAAGCATCTCACATCCAGTTTTTGTTTCATAGACTAACATTTTTATCAGCTCTGAAGAATTTTTCAGATCTTCCTATCTTTCAATATCTACATAGTTATGTCTATTGGTTTTCATTCTTTGAATACATGCTATATTCATGATTTAAAAATCAAAATGATATAAAAGGAAACCTATATCTAAGAAGCCTCATTCCCACATCATCCATATGCAGGTCACTTTGCCCTTGCTTACTGTAGGTCACCACTTTTACTAGTTTCTTGTATATTCTTCCAGCAATGCTTTACGCAAAGACGTTTACCTACAAATACAGTCTTATTCCTCCTGCCTTCTTACAAAAAATGTTCAGTTTTGCATCTTACTTTTTATTCAGCAGTATGTCCTGGATATCCAAGTTAGGAAATGTTTCTTTATTGCTTTTACAGCTCTACAATATTCCATTATATATTCCATGTCAATATATACTAGTTTGTATAACGAATCCCCTATTTTTCAAAAATTAGATTTTATGAATTTAAGTCTTATTTCTGACAATAATTTAGTTCAAAGGCAATAACTACACAAACAGCACAGAAACCTGTGGTGTGATTTCACAAATTTTTATTTGATTAATAAATACGAGCTTCCTTGTACGTCATTTTATCTTTTATCTCAAGTTTACTCTATGATCCTATATAAAAACTCAACAACCATTATGCTCATAAACTTGCAAAATCTTAGGGGAAACTGCCCAATCTCACTGAGGGTTTCAATGGGCCTGCAAAAACATAAAACATGTTCTACAAGAGACACAGTTAAGAATGCTCCATTCTACTTATTGGAATCAGGAAAGGCTTCATGGAGGAAATAGCTGGGGTTCAATCCTAAAAGATGAAGTGATCGAGAGGCAGATGAGGGAAAAGGGAAAACATTAAAGGAGGATCAGCATAAACAGAATTTTTAAATTGTCAAGAACTCTAAGTAGTTCTATTTCTGCTTAGAATGCAGAAAGCCACAAAAGAATGTCATTTCCATCCTAATGAGAAAAAAAATCCTATCTATAAAATCAAAACTTCTCTTGGTCTAACAAAGAGTGGAGGTCACAAGGCAATCAAGCAAATTTAATAAAATTCCAAGTACATTTTATTCCTCTTCTTGGAGGGATAACTCCTCCAAGCAAAGACTACACACAAACTGTCTGACCTTCGGCAGGTCACAGAAAAAGAAGTGGCCACTATACAACAGTAAAAGAAAAAATTAGCTAAAATTTTAACAAATTCTTAAAGACCAAGTGTAACCTTCTATGTCAGTTTAGAATAGCTGGGGACCCCAGACATAAGGAAAGTTCTCACTCAGTTGCAAGATTTTCCACGTGCCTTGACCAGGTGCTCACAAGAAAGATTAGTATAATAGTAGGACAGGAAACCAGAGAGAGCCCTCATCATTAGGGGAAGTGTGCAGGAGGTGTCTAGGACAAGGCTGGAGCCTGATTCCCCAACTGTTCTCTAACACAGAAAAAAAGCCTCAAGCCACTAGGAGAACAGAAAATCCTCTAACCAAAGGTCCTGGCAAAAATCCATTGCTTCAGGGCAGAACAGAAGCAAAATGCCTCTGCCTCTGGGGAAGAGATAGACAAACACTCTCAGTCATGTGACAGGGAAAGATATAATGTTGCTAGGAGAGGGGTAGAGGCAAAAGAACCTCTGCCACCATGGTGGAGTACAGAGCAGGAAAATCCTGCACCAATACCAAAGAGACTTCTACCACCACTGTGGGAAAAGAAGGATATTCCTGTCCATGACCTACCACAAATACACGGAAGAAAGGGCAAGTCACAAGAAAGAGAGGGCAGGAATGCTGAGGCTGAGAAAGCCCAACTGATGCCCAGGACAAATGACCTGAATACAACTGAGTGTGAACCAGAACAAAAGAGAAGCCTGCTCTGTACCACAAGCGTGGCACTGAATAACAAACAATAGGCTATCACTAGGAGGGGGTAACGAAATATTGGTACTTCTGTTGCACAGATGTGCAAAGACTGTTGGAAGATGAGGATGATACAGGAATACAGAGAAAAATCTTGTAGAGCGACATGCCATTCTCTAAACACAAGGGACCAGCAGCCAACTGCTAGAGAAATATGAAGCTTGTGGTGCACTGAGAGGGTAATGACGGTGACAAACCCAAAATCAGCTCAACTCTTGATTACACTGATTCAGCCTCCAATACAAACAACCTGACAAGAGGCAGCAGCAAAAGAGGATCACCTTAGTCTCTCTTGTCCTTTCCGCAGAGAGATGGAAACTTTAAAAAGATATGAAAGCTAAAAACAAAAAGAAAAAGATACCAGAGGTGAAAAATCCT